CCTTCTGGGGTAACATCACAGTGTCAGAAGGAAAGAGATCAGTTTGATGGTCAAAAACTGGCTGTTGTTGATACTCCAGGTCTGTTTGACTTACAAAGAACTCCAGAGGAGGATAAGAAACACCTAATTAAATGTTACTTCCTGGCTGCTCCTGGTCCTGATGTGTTCCTGGTTGTCATGCAGGCCGGCAGATTCACCAAAGAAGAACATGAAACAGTTGAAATCATTCAGAAGTTGTTTGGAGAAAAAGCAGCATGTTACACTATGGTGTTGTTCACCCATGGAGACAGCCTGGAGGATGCCGAAGTTTCCACAGAAGATTTCATTAAGGAAAATGAAACTCTCTGTAAATACATCCGTCAGTGTGGAGGAGGATATCACTTTTTTAACAACAAAAGCAAAGATCCTACTCAGGTCAGAGAGCTGCTGCAGAAGATCAACACCATGGTTCAGAAAAACGAAGGAAGATACTACACGAATAAAGAATTAAAACAGGCAGGAAAAGCCATAGAAGAAAGGGTGGAGGAACTTCTAAAAGAAAATCCAAAAATGAAACTTGAAGAAGCGAGAAAAAATGCAGAGGAGTTCAACTGGTTTGATTGGGCTGCTCCAGCATCTGGATTTTTTGGTATTGCAGCATTAGTTGCAGCAATAGCAATGAAAACAGGAAGGGGATGTGTTATCCAGTAATCATTTTTTCATTAGTCAAATAACGTAAAGACTAAATTTATTAAGCGTGTTAATTTCATTATCGTTTATGTTATTAATGGGAAGTTATATAACTTTTTGCCAAAAATAGTCAACATGTTCAACGTGTTTTTCTTAGTCTGCATATACTCTTGAGTTATCTTGAATTGTTAATTAATATTTTTAGTCTGAACCTTTCAGAGGATCATATAGGTGTTTCTGTGTTTCTAAAAGTGAGAGCTTAAAAGATTGGATGTAGTCAGTTTGGTTCTCATGTGCTTTAAATATGTTCTGACATGTTAATAAATATACATTTGTCATATGAAAATCTCTATATGGTGATTATTATACAACTAATTTCTTTTTCTTTAAAAAAAAACAAGCATTAAAATGGAAGTATTAAATTATTAACCCTTTAAAGCCGGTCGGAGCGGGCACGCTCTGTTTTGCGTAACTATTTTTAAATCCCGGTAGCTCTGCAACCACGTAAGCTAGCGCAATAATTTTTTTTGCATATGAAACCGGAGGAGTTGTACTTACATCTTATGCCATCAGCTTGTCCTAGGTCACGGTTTCCTTCCACATAAAGCTTTGCAAAAACTGCATAAAAAGCACTTGCAGCAACAAAAACATAATATTCCAGAAACACGCTTTGCCGATCCGATCAGCTGTTTGTAACACTTCCTACGTCCATCAGCGCGAACTATCGCATGTCCGCCATGACCTGCCCGAAACCGGAAGTGACGTCATTTTGCGGAAATGTAGTTTTTTTACCATCAGGGCCTTATGAGCCTATACTGGTGTTTTTAAAAGTTATGTTTGACTTTATGACTTTCTGTGTCGTTTCTGGGATGCTTAGGACTCATATTGCACTGCTGGAAATAGTTTATTTTGATGCTGCTTTTTTGCAAATTTGCAGTATAATATTTATTTTCGTTTTTCCTGCAGTGTATAAAAATTGGTGTATTTCAAAAATAAAACTATGAAGACACTCAAAATAAATTTCCTGTGGTGGGAAACTATTTTGTGCAACTTTTTTGTATTTACAGTTTTGAGGGATAAGCCTCTTAAATTTCTCTAACTACAAATATATGTTAAAAAAGCAAAAACGATTTTCAATTTTTTTGTAGTTTATTGCACTTTTTTGCAATTTATGTAATTACTATGCACTTAATGAATACATATTATTAAAATCTGGGCTATAATGGTTGTATTGATGTATAGCAACTTGAAATGCTCCCAAAAATATAATACAAGCTCTGGTGGACTTGGTTCTATGGTAGGTCTTAAAGGGTTAAAGAACTCTCCTATTCTTGCAGGAGGAGTGACTATGTGTTGACCTCTTTGCTAAGTGGTATTTGATGATGTTTTGCCCCCCTGATGCCCTGTGTTATTTTCAGGTTCAGACCTTAGGGTTGTGCTGGTGGGTCAGGAGAAAGTGGGGAAGAGCTCAGCAGGAAACACCATGGGAAAGAAGGAGTTTGACTGTAGGATCAGCTCCAGCCCTCTGACTCTGAGGAGTAAGAAGACAGAAGCTGAAGTTCTGGGTTGCAGAGTCTCTGTGGTCGACACCCCCGGACTCTTCAGCACTAAGCTGACTGCAAAGGAGTTGAAAGCAGAGCTATTAGAAGCAGTCAGGCTGAGCTCTCCAGGTCCTCATGTCTTCCTCTTCGTCATCCAGCTCGGAAGATTCGCCAAACAAGAACAGGAAGGGCTGAAAACTCTGCAGAAGATACTGAGTCCTGATGTCTCCAAACACACCATGCTGCTGTTCACCTACGGAGACCGACTGGAAGATACCGACATGGAGCAGTTCATCAGAGAGGAGGAGAACCTGCAGGAGCTGCTGAGGAGCTGCAGCCCTGTGTACCATGTGTTCAACAACAAAAAAATCGGAGACAGGAGTCAGGATCAGGTGAAGCAGCTGCTGGACAAGATAGACTCCATCTCAGAGGGAGGACACCGATACTATCAGAGACAGTCTCTGTCGGGGTGGTCTGTCAGGAGTCTAAAGCTTTTCAGCACTCTCCAGCATTATAAAATTCATATAATCGGAGGTATTATTGTGTTTTTCCTGTGTTACACATGTCGTGGAAAAATTCACAAAGGTCGTTATTTCCTATGTAGACGCCTGATACCTGAGTTTTTGGTTAGAACTCCTTGGGTGAAGCAGGTCTTTGTTGAGCCTTAATGAAATATAAAGTGCAGGAAAGCCATCTTCCTGATATGAAGATGCAGGGTCTCATGAAGTTAACACCATGTGCTGGATCTTGAATCACAGACATCATCCTTCTGTAAAGATCACAGACAAGTTTCAATAAAGTTTCTCCTCAGAGAGTGAGAGAGGTCTTTCAGGAGTTCCATGCTTGGATATTATTGTCTCTTGAAAATAATAAATGAAGCTGTTTTTAATTTTGCTATATACACAATATAATGTGCTCATAATTGAATTGGCGTTCCGTGTTTGAGGGTCAAAAGCTTCGCCCACTGCTATGTCTGGACGTGAAATATTGGGGGTTGACATAGCCAGCGCAGAGGGTTTTGCTGCATGATTACACATCACACTTGATAATGGTTATAAGGATATTCTTTGGACTAAAGAGAGTCTGAACAAAATGTCCTGAAGTAGAATAGATAGATAGAATAGATATAGAATCAGTAGTGGGATAATATTAAAATGATCAAGGCTAGGCAAGGAAGTGTGGTTTGCGCCTGTCTTTCTGATTCTAAACGAAACGGAGCAGATAGGAGGTCGACAGGATTGAGCAGATGTGGACGGAGAGGTCGAATGGAGACATCAGGATGGGTTCCAGAAGAAGACAGACATAATAATCATTCGTTATTGTAGCAGTATAAAAACTGTATGTCCCAATGAGAGTCATCCTTGGTGTGGCTGTGACCAGTGCTGTAACTTGTAATTTTAACTGGTGAAGCAAATTAAATCTTTTTAAACGACAGCTATTTCTCCTGAATTCCTTCTGAGAAAATTTGAACACGACAAATTGGTGACCATACGTGTTTATTTTGGTTCAAATTGAGAAGAAGAGAATTGGGAAGGCTCCTGATGGAGTTGCTGTCAGATTCAAGAAATAGAGACAACTGATTCTGGTCACTCTCACAGAAGGCCTTCAAAATAAAGGTAAGCAGATCATGTTGTTATTACTGAAATCTGCAAAATTGGACATAAACCAAATATAACTGTGAGCGGTGAGCAGTGTATTTTAATAACAGGCCAGCTTTGACTCACAAACCAATTGCTTAGCCAGACTGGAGCTGTGCAGAACAGGAAGTCTTTTGGAGAGCTGCAGAGGCAGTATATTAAGAACAGGAAACAGATGCAGACAGAAAAAGTGGAACTAAGCAACACACACAAACAGATCAAGTAATGCCAGAGGTAAAGAAGTTGTTTTGATCGAAACTGTGTGTGACATATGACGAACTGAATTATACACATTTGGGTTCTATTGCTTCAGAACATCTGCAAGTGGCTTAGCGCTGTGCACATCTCTCTTCCGGAAGATGAGTGAATAAAATGATTCGAAATATTTAAACCAACTGAGTCGCGTCTTCTCTGTCCAGTTAAGAGAATAAAAGAACCGGATTTGATACTCAAAACAAGAGTAGAGTTATTGGAAAAGTTCATAGGTCAAAGATCGGATTACAGGTTGTAATTATTGGTTAGATTAGATTAGATGAAACTTTATTAATCCCTCGGGTGGGTTCCTCCGGAAAATTCAGTTAAACAATGAAATAAATCAAAAGTATGCGTTAAAGAGAAATTATACCAGTTTAAGTTAGGTCAAAGGTGAAGTTTTAAATCTTTTGATAATGGGTTAAACTAGATAAAATAAAGGTGAAGAACAAGATTAAATACGTTGCAAACCGCAATGAGGTCTTGATCAAACCTTAAAAAAACAAAACAGTACATGGACAACAAAAACAGTACACAATTAATAGATTTGCTGGTGTTTAAAATGTTTTTGGTGTGTTTTCTGAGTTCAGACTGAAAGAGATTATGTAATCCAATATTATTAGTTATTTTACTAGGTATTTGTATTCTTGTACAGCACTTTGGTCAACATTCTTGTTGTAATTAAATGTGCTGTATAAAGAAATAAACTATTGTGCATGTGTGTGTTTGTGTGTCTGTAAGCTCCTAGTGTAGTTTTTTCTTTTCCCCTCTGCAAAGGCAGAGCATGCGTGTGTATGTGTATGCGTGGGTGCGTCTGAACGAGAGTGTTGCAGCTGTTGTTTGTTTTTTATTTTTTCCCAATTTTTTGTTGGTGTTAATTTTTTGTTTTCCTAATCGCACGAGTCAAGGTGTGAATTTACTGAGGTGCCCAGTAAATCACATGATGGGGGGGGGCTAGGTTTCACAGTGAAACCTCGGCTGATTGTGACCCACACCGGTTTTCACACCCCTGCTCAGGTCATTAGGTAGAGGATCAATAGGGGGTCCACGGCCCTCTTTGGGGATACTCTCCTAGGACTTATATCTGGAACTCTCCACCATTTGCTCTTAGAACTGAAGAAGCTTCTCGGATGAAATGTCTTCAAGAAACTTAAAGAAGTCCAGTTGCTTTTCTTTCCAAACTCCTTAGACAACTAGTAAAATAACTTACAGACAAGAGCCCGGTGTGCTCTCACTACCTAGAAGGTACCTTTGTCCACTCTCTCTTAAACTCAGTGAATCCTAACATTCCCCATCTTAACCAACCCTCTTGATCCAATGACCTGGCTTCCAGCTGTTTCTGTAGCTTGTTACGAGTTCAAAGTATTGGAGATGGATGCAAGAGAAAAACCACAATAACAACACTGGTCCGGCCGGGTTGAGTCAAACGATGATTTTAATGATCACACGCGTGGGAGATGGACACTGTATGCAGACAGCCTCAGATCTCAAAATGGTGGAGCATTGATCAAACTCTTATAGCCTCTGGTGCCTCCACCTTATCATAAAAGCCTAAACATTCACATGCTTTCTCTCACACGGCGCCTAAGCTACGACCTTGGCTCCCTGTTTATCTGCTCCTGCTGAGATGGGGCAGAAAACTCCAGTCATGTTCTCTTCTAATCAGACAAATAAGGCGATGACTTTCTGCGAACAGTATTTCTTATAACTCAGCAGTATAATGCATCATAAAACAATATCATTCATTCACAATAAATCAGCAGTCTAATGTAATGCAAATCAGTTTAACTAATGCAATAGTTATCAGCTTCTTCTAATTCAGGAGAATAATGCAAACTAAAACTACATAATAATTCACAATCTTTAATTAGGGGTCTAACATGGCATAAAATAATATTATAATCTAACACTCCCCCTGATGAGCTCGTTAGAATAATGAGCTCACCAACACCCTGTAATCCAGTGTGGCCGGGTTCATCTCTTCTCACTCCTGAGGTCCTTTGTCCCCCTGATGGGCGAACCATATGTGAGATGACCTCTGTGTTTGCGCAGTTCAGATGCAAGAAAAACTATTATTCCAACAATAGCAGGTACAGATGACACTCCCCAGTTCTCCCACAGCTTTATTTGGTGCTACCTTATACCCTTCAGACGTACTCAGACTAGAACCTCTGTCCAAGAGCTTTTAGCCTTTATTTTATTGCTGCAGCTACCAGTGTCGTCCAGTTGGGTGATCCTCTGCTCTTCATTCTTCAACCTCAGGGGTTAGACAACCCTTCAGTCGTGGCACAGATCAGGGGATTATTCTGCCCCGATTTCAAACAACGATCTGTGATCCTCCAGAAAAAGAACCAGGAACGTGTCCCCCTTTTTGCCCAAGAGCCTCTCGAACCTCGTTGGTCTGGTGTTCCCGGATTTCCGCCACCCCTTCTAGAGATGGCACGATACCACTTTTTTATGTCCGATACCGATACATACATAAATTTGGATATCTGCCGATACCGATATGAATCCGATATAGTGTTTTTTAATCAACAAAACTGTTTTTTAAAATATCTTGCTGCATTTTGCAAGTCTGCAAGTTCATACTCAAGTTTAAAACAACAACTACACTAAAGCTATTCTGTTATACCTGTATGCAAAAAAAAATATTTCATAGTTCAGCAATACTGATCAATCTAATAAACTTAAACCTACACCATCCTCCCTATTCTGGTATTTTAAAGAGTACTTAGCATAAATATTAAGCAACCTAACTAATAGGGTTCCAACTCCCAGCAACAACAAAAATAAATAAATAAAAAATAGGGAACCACCCCTCACGCTCCACCTCATGATGCTTAATCGACGTAATCAACCTTAATTTGATGCAGTGTGAAAAAAAAATGCACAGAAATCAATTATTTTTCAAGAAATATTAAATAGATTCAACATCTTTCTTCAACAAAATTGCAGACTGCACAGATGGTACCTTCCCAAAGGAAAAAGTACTATAGCTTACTAGGGTATATATATTAGACTTAATAGTCACTATATACAGTAATTGACTTCTATTCATTTTACATCAAATTAAAACTTTGGGTGTCAGATAATTATTTATTAAAAGCTCGACATTTTAAATGAGAATAAGAAAGAAAAGTATGTCTTTGTGCCCCCTTTTCCCTGTTACATGCCCTATCGGCCCCCCTGGCTAAACTTTGCTAGATCCGCCCCTGCACAGTTACCAGCGTCAGCTACGTAGAAAAAGATCCTGGTGTAGAAAGTAATATTAAATAAATTCTAACAACAGCTTATCAAGCTTAAACGTGCTGCTGTTGTTCAGCCGCTGGTTTCCTCTTTCTGGTGCAAAGTGGGCCAAAAACAAACAAGAGAGAGCCGATCAGCTGATCGTTAAGCAGTTTCATGATTGAAGTAGCAGCCGAGAGCGAGAGGCAGTCGCTCGTTAAGCTTAACGCAGGAATGCTTTACAAACATTCAGAGATGGACTTACACACTTGCTTTACTTCTCTCGGGGATAACTTTGTCGGAGATGAAATGCCGGGTTGCTAGCGAAGCTCCAAATGCTATCCAGACCACCGACAGGTCCCGCATGCCACAGCCGCTCTATCACGTGATGCATACTGCTCCGACGTGCTAACGTTCTGAGGTGAGTTACGGCGTGTTGCAAGTTTTGTGAGGTGCTTTCGTGATATTTAATGGATCGGATTACATTTTTATTTTTCTCCGATATCCGATCCAGTAATTTAGGTCAGTATCGGACCGATACCGATACTATATCGGATCGGTCCATCTCTACCTTCTTCATGGTTATTGCTGTGTTTATGGGATCCATCCTTTGAGGTGACTCAATCGGAAGTTCCTGTAAAATCAGCATGTTTGTCTTTATTGGTTTGATAGTGATTGATTATTCAGTCCCAATCTGCTGTCATCTAAAGAACAAAATGATGTTTCTATGAGTCACAAAGCTCCAGATGTTGTCGGCTTCACAAAGAAAACAAAGAACTTAAACACAAAGTGTTTGGAGCCAAAATGTTCCCAAGCTGCTCTTTTTGAAATGGCAGAGGTACAGTGGTGTCTAACAGCACACTGTGGAAGGCAAACATGTTATTGTTGGATGAAACTTCATGAATCCTTTGTAGATTTGAGCTGTTGGAGCCTTTCTTTTCTCTTCAGGTGTACAGATGCTGAGGAGGCAGGTGAAGCAGGTGGAGCTGTTGTGATGCTGGCACTAATGTGTGATCACATTTGTGTGAATTAATTTAAGTAATTTCACTTTCAATGTAAGTGATATTTCCATTTGTGAATGCCCTTGATAACTACAGTAGTTTTAACAGGAAACTGAGTCGCTGCCATCAGGAACTAGTTTTTATATCACAGCCTGGAAATCTGTCATCTCAACAAGAACAAGAATTAAGTTGCTGAATTTCATTCAGATGCTACATGACTTAATTATGTTCACCATAGAAACATGAAATTATTTAGTTCAAATTACAAGTTTGAGTCTTGTACATGTAACAGCCACCCAATATTATAATTATGCCAGTTCTCAATGGTCATGAGAATTTGCATAATTAAGATTAAGGGACTGACCTCCCAGCCTTCAGTGTTCCTTCAGTGGGCTGATTTCAGTCATCATGCAAATGTGCTGTTTATAAGATTTGGGGAAAGCTGCAGTCAGCTGAGACTGAAGAAGTCACCTGGATGATGATGAAACTCTTCAAATAAACCTCTGCAGATGATCTGTTAGCTGTTTGACAACTACTCTTTCAAGGATGTTTGATATGAAAGGAAGGTTGGAGATTGGCCTGTAATTAGCTAAGACTGCTGGGTCTAGAGATGCTTTTTGAGTAAAGGTTTAACTACAGCCAGCTTGAAGGCCTGTGGTACATAGCTGATTATTAGAGATATTAATCGGGCTATCATCCACAGAGCAATGGCCAGTCAGAGCGGGCAAACCAGGAGCTGGAGGCTGCCCTGCGCTGTGTTGCTTCCTCCAATCAAAAAGTGATGAACTGCCGTGGATAGAACATGCTCACAACAGCCTGACAGCCTCCGCCACGTGCCGATCCCCCTTTGGGGTCTCCCTGGGATTTCAGCCTTCCTTGTTTCCCACAGTTGAGGGTGAGCATTGCATGCCCTCAGTCCAAGCTCACCTGCACAGGTGTCGGTGGGTGCGGCAGGCTACCCAGGCTGCCCTGCTGTGCACCAAGGACCACAACAAGCGCATTGCAGATCGCAAACCGATTCCAGCATCCGAATATGCTTTGGGTTAGAAGGTATGGCCCTCCACACGTTTCGTTCCCCACAGAGCAGAGTCCAAGAAACTCACTCCTACCTACATCGGTGCGTTTGAGATTGTTTCAAATTGCTGTTTCTGTGGCTGTGATCAGCTCCACTGGCGGGATTTGTCTCGGTGTGACAGCAAAATTAAATCCTTTAGCAAGGATGTTTTTCTCTGTTTGGGTGAGCTGTCCGTCAGACAGATTCTTCACACACTTGTCCACATCCTCAGTGTCGCATCCTTCGCTCTTATTAGAGTTCTGCTTTCTGGTTCCTGTATGTGTTCCTAAGTTAATACCCCTGACAAAGGCACGTTTAACTAATAGTAGCAGTTTTATTTAAGACCTTCCACAACACTTTTACTAATTACTATATTACTTCCTAGGAAGTAAATTTTTTCACAGGTGAGCTGCTGATTCCTTACTGTTGGGGTGAAGGGAGTGCCATGCATCGTAAAGACCAACGTTTCTCATGTACTGGCCATATATACTGACAATACATAGCTTTGTGTTAAGTGTAGATACTTTAAAACTAGGAATCTACCCTTTGGATCAATAACTGTGTTGAGGACTGTGTAGCTATATGAGTATAACTAATGATGCATGCTGCATGTGATGCTCAAACAAGTGAGGAAAAACACCATCAGGTGTAATTTATTTCTTTTTACGCAGCAGGCTCTGCTTGCTGGTTGCACATGATATAATCAAGTGTTAAGTAAATATAACATTTTCTGTCCCTTGCTTGTGAATCTCTACATGAAGTGGCAAACAGCTAAACGTGCTGTAGAGACTGACAGCATTGAATGATGACTGAAACTGAAAGTAGAGTAGAAGGCCTTTTTCCTTCCTAGCTACAAAAAATACAAAGAAGAAATATTCTCAATGCAAATAAAGAATTACATGTTTACTACACATGCCAAACAGATGTAGACATTCATATTTACACATCTGCAAATATTAGTCAATTTAATAACATTATTTACTATCCATGAAGATGAAACACAATACAAAGTTACAAACAAAGCTTCGCCGTTGGCATAACACAGGTGAATGCTGAAAGGTTACACAGAGAGACTTGTACATTATAAGGTTGCACTTATACCAGTTTTATCTGTACGAGAATGAAAAGAATAACAACCTGGAATCATAAACCTCCTCTGCCCACTTGCCAGAAAAAAGATCAAAGTTTCTTTATTTAAACAAAAGCTTTAATAAAATACATAATAAAACATAATATTCTCTTAGACTTGATTTCCATATTCAGAATATTTCAGTTATACATATCACTCATTATCTTGGTTTCAAAGAAGAGAGTATATGAAGCTTTTCATTCATCACTAAACCTGCTCTGTTATACACACAGTACAAAAACAGACCATTTCCCAAACAATAAAAAGTAGACCTGCAATCATCGTTTACCATTGCTGAGACTTGTCTTCTTTTAGTAGGGAAGCAGGTAGAAGTTCTTGGTCAGAGTACATCTGTCTTTGCTTGGCATCTGAATTTCACCAAACTCCGATTCCTCGAAGCGCTGCATGACCTGTAGCATTGAAAGAAAGGCAGCTTCATCACTGACTGGTGTCTTTTCTAGATCCAAACTTTTAGCCTATCCAATTTATGAAGTTCAAATGAAGAAATAAAAGAATTCACTTGTTGAGCTCACTTTTCTGAACAGTTCCTCAATGGGATCCACATCAGCAAACTCTTTGAATATCTCAACAATATATTGGATAAAATAAGAGCCGTATGACTCATCTCTGTATGAAGTCGTATCTGCAAGCCAAAAGAAACGGACAATTTGTGCTGCTGGTGTCAATGACTCGTTACTGAAGGCTGGAGTTACTTGTTACTGGAACACTCACTAGGGGTGCAGGACAGAAGAGAGATGAAGTCCTTTTCTTTGTGTACCACAGCATCTGTCTCGATGTCTCTTCCAACAGTGGTTAAAACTTCATCATGTAAAACCACCGAACCCGCCTGACCTACAACAACCATGCAGGGTTACCCAGAAATACGTGATAATATTTAGCTTGATCATCTTACAGGTCAGCAGTGATCCTGCAGCAAATACTCTTTTTGTATTTGAACATGTGAACATTTGAACAGCTTTGCACTGATATGTTGCATAAAAATTCCTGTGTGAAGCCTTTGACAGTCATTTGAGCTGCTTCTGTGAAGAACTATGATGTGGTGAAACGAGCTCTGACTGAAGGGAAACTTCAGACTGTAAATACCTAAAAAAGCCTATCAGAACAAAGTGTGAGCGTCCATTCAGAGGAACAAACATAATCATGCAGCCACGAAAAACTTGCTCACAGGACATTTAAGCTCACGCCACTTCTATATGAAACTGTAAATGCAGCTTGAAACTTCTAGGATGAATGAATCACCTCCTCTACAAGCCTGGATGATGATCACCTTGGGCTTGTTATGTAGTGCAGGACAATTCTGTGTGTTTAGGCTCTTGTAAATGTTTTCAATTTCAAAAGGTTTGCAGTCAGTGCCACAGACACCTTGCAGAGATCCGTGAGACATGATAACTACAAACACACTATCCGTGTGGACAAGATGTGGATGTTTTGAGAACTTTTGTAGAGCTTCTTCAATCTCCTGTAAAATCAAAAACTTTGTATAAATAAATGTATCATTTTCTCAGTTTTGGGAAATGTCAAAGTAGGAGTGAATTATTTTTAAAACTACCTTTACAGTCAAGTTCCTACATTTCACCACATCGTAACCCAGATCTGCAAGCATGCAGTGCATTTCATATTCATCTTTCTCAGCTCCATGTCTGGTTGAATACCCATCGAAAGTTTTGTTAGTGATCAGCAGGGCTACACGCTTTGAAATGGACTCTTCAGTCACTGGATAGTTCTAACAGACAAGATGATTTACAGGAATTGATTAGGTTCTAACATTACTTTTAAAAACAACAAATCATTTTAATGTGTATTAGAGATCAAACGTTTAAATATACAGTATAATGCTGGCCAGTCGAAGACACATACATTATTACCACGTCTCCCACCATCTGTGCTGTAATGCTGTGTGCTGGTCGAGCATTGCTGCTCCTTTTGGGACAATAGAGCTACAATTAAAAAACACCATCAGCTGATTTCTCAGTAGACATTTTGCTGCAGTACATCAACTGTGTGTGTGTGTGTGTGTGTGTGTGTGTCTGAGAGAAAACATGAAAAATGTATTACAATAACAGCTCAAGAAAAACGAATGTTACAGAAATCCTCAGTTTTCTGCACAGATGGAAAAGTGGACACATGCAGCGAAGAGTGAACATTTGCATCTAGTTTCTGAAGATGTGTAAACATTATCCTGCAGGCTTTGTCCCGTTTTTGTTTTTGTTTTTCTTGCTGTGTCAGTGAAACAGCCTATCTGCTCTGGATTGATTATCTTCTACTATGGATTATTTCTCTAAACCATTCAAAATACCATCAGTGACAAGTGCTTCAAGGATTAAGATTTTTTTTGTGACACAGTTGACACAAACTCTGCCCTTAACCTGGCAAACTCCTTCTCGATAGGAAGCATAAAAGAAACATGATGATACATATAATTCACATTTTGGTCTTTTACGTGCCAAAGAATGAAGAAGACGTGGAATAGTCAAAGGAGAAATATATAATCTAAGAAAGAGTCTCATTAAAGATTTTGACATCACTTACCTGCCATTGTTCGCTTGCTCTATCATATGAGTCCGGTCTAATAGCATTTATGTTGGAATGTAAATGCCTCACCCGCCCTCACGTGACTCATTTGAATCATGTTCATTGGTTGGTTATTTTCTCTCTGCGTGTAAAAAAACAGGTCTGTTGTCACTTTATGAAAAACTAGTCACCACATCTAAGAACCTAACAAAACTCAATCACAAATGACTGAATATCATATGTGTGTGATGTGCAGTTTATGGTCCTGAGAAAAGTTCAACATAAAGAACAGATGCATTTAAATATGTTTATTGTTGTGTATTTAGATTGTTTGCTTTGGTAACTGCAATTATAATCACAATGACACAAAAGTGCAAAAAAATAAATGTCGGTTATATTCATATAGTGACATTTCACAACAACTGGTAATGCAAAAAACAAATTATTGTAAGCAACAGACCACGAAATATGAGAAAAAAGCAAAGACCAGTCAGACAATTGCCGATGAAGAATCACTTGGTGACCCCACCCATTTTTTAACAGGAAGAAACCATCAGCAGAAACTCCTTCTAGCTATTTTGTAGCTGTTTATTTAAAGCAGAAAACAAAAAAAAGTCAGAAGACAATGAACTGCTGGTTCAGATTAGCACATCAAATTCATGCAAAACAAGTGTACAGGTCATGATGATGGATGTCAGAGGTGATTGATGGTGTTGACGGTTTCGGTTTTCTGCCAAGTAAATCATTTTCCGTGGATGTTTTCAGACCGGAAAAACTAGAAATCTCACACAGCACAGTTTCTGTTGGCAGCACGTCTGGGTTTTGTGAAGCAAACGTTTCGTACAGTCCTTTTCAGAGACTCAAAAGACATTTGACAAACTGTAAGAATTTTAAAATAAGGATTGCTTCTGATAATCACAGCAACATTTTCTTTTGCAGTCACTGACTCTCTGAAGTCTAGAAACCTGTGCCATCGCTTCATGTTGTGTTGCAGTAAGTGAAGTAAGTGAACTAATAGATTTAGATCAGGTGAAAAATATCCAGTTTTGTTGCCTGTAGAAACTCTTGGGTTGCTTTTGAATTTTTCTTTTGGTCATGATTCATGTAATGCACTATCCAGTTAGACTGCGGCACAGAACTTTAGAATATTAGGGGGGGGCACGAAACAATGAAATTCTGGTTAACATTAGATTAGCTCATCCTGCCACATCCAGATCCTTATATAATGATTTTCTACAGTCACAAAGTGCTTTAGAGAACTACACATTTACACACAATCATACTCTGACGGATGCATCAGAGCTAACTTTTTTGCCATCTGTCTGACAGATATAATTTTGCCTTAATAACATGGACGGACATCATTTCAGCCCTCAGAAATCAAACGGGCCTCCTGTATATATGCTTTATCTTGTATGTATGTACGCATATGCTCGAAATAAATGATCAAAGAAAAAGTCTCTGCCTGCTGCAGCTCAGAGCACAGATGGGTTCGTGCAGTTCATTTCAAAATGAGGAAAGTTTCTACAAGACAAATTCTTCCAATTAAAAGAGCATCTGCTGAAATTGTATTACAAAGTAGAAACAGGTATTTGAAGCTGCTGTTGTCCCTGGACTCCCACAAACCTATAGGTGTAGGATCCTCCAGAGGCTTTCAGTTATGTATGAAGCTACCATTCGGCTATCCCTAACGAATAATCACAAGTGACAACAGTTGTACTGGGCCCAGAAGGAGATTGCAGAATCATCTTTTGGGCCGGAATCATTGGGAGAGAGTTGGTGGGTCACTTTATATTTTCTGAAGGTAAGAAAATGATCTCTGCTCTGTATATAGAGTTTCTGACTGACCACTTCCATGATAAAAAAAAAAAACGAAGAGCAGTGTTTTTTGTGGCAAAATTATCTTGCTACATGACAATGCACCATCTCATGCTGCAAAGAACACCTCTGTTGGTTACTGGGCAGGAACTCCCAAAAAGATCTACCTGAGTGGGAAGCAGTTCACCTCAAAAAAGCAGCTGTGGAAGGCTAGGCTCACATCTTGCAAAGAAATTCAAGAAGAACTTTTCCAAAACCTCAGGTTCAATGGATGCAGAAATTGTGAAGGCAGGGCTGTAGAACAACTTTTTGCCACGGTTGCACTGGTTTTCCCAACGTTTTTCTTAGGCACAACAGCACAAAAGTTAGGTGCACTCAAATTTTTCAGCCATTTTGCTTAACACTGCTTTACACGTTCACCCTTTTTTCAAAAAAAAAAAAGTTGCTGCCCATACAGACAATATTGACTTATAAATGATTAACTAACAAACCTGTCAACACAAAGCTCTCTATTTGGAGCACATTTCTACAAGAAAGATAAGTAACCATATTTTTTGGGCCACTGGCGGGCGCCACCATGCGCTCTTGGACTACTGTGGGACATCATTTTTTATTTCTGCGCATCTGCGCAAAGACGCGTGACACAAATCGATCAAACAGCAGCAGCACGGAGTTGGTGCTCCGGCACAGCTTTAAGAAGTTATTGGTTTAGGCCATGATATGGGCTTAATGTTGTCTGCTGTTGACCACATGGAGACTTTCACCACTTTGTGTTGGTCTTTCACCTGGAATTCCAATTAAATTGATTCATGTTTGTGGCTGTAATGTGACGAAATGTGGAAAAGTTCAAGGGACCGAATACTTTTGCAAGCCACTGTATGTGTGTGTGTGTCCAGAGTTCAGCTGAGACAGTGTCCTTTGCCCTGCCAGGCTAAGTAAACAGTCTTCCAGCCAACCCAGGTGGCCTTGCATAGGGTGGGAAGAACAGTCTAAATACAGTTGTTATCAGGGTTTTGTTGTTCGGCTCCAGCCTTCAGCTGGCACCGAAGGGATAGCCAAGTTATGATGGTGGTTTTCTTTTATGCTGAACAGCTCATGAGAATTTCAAAGCTGTTCCTTAACACTCCAACATCGACACTCCATTTCCCATTGGAGAGCCGCGAGCTTTTCCATGATGTTATCAAGCTTGCGCTCTGTGGTCTTGTCATTCTTGTGCCCAGAGACTGTAGTGAGCTGTTCTAAGATGTTATCCAACTTTCGCTCACAGGTGTTATCCTGTGCAAACTTCTCCTTGATGTAAGCCAATGTACGTTCAGAGGTGTTATTCTGAGTATTCACTGCAGCTGTGAGCTTCTCTAAGATCTTAACCATGCTGCACTCAGTTAGCCCATTCTGAGAAGTCGCACCTTGTCCCAACATTTCAATCCCAGCGGGCAGCCTTGTCGGGGTTTGAACAGCCGGTTCCGCTTCCTTAATTCTTCGATAAGTCAGGGCCAAGCCAGCTCCGATCAGCAAGAACCCTGTTATTATGGTTCAGAATAGGTAGATGTCTTCAGCATCGTCGATCGACAGTCCAGCACACGATCCTCCATGTCTGCCACCCGTCCATCGTGTATCCGGCAGGGAAAGTACCTCCAGGGCACTCAGGCTCTCCCGAGCCCAGACTTCTCGTTGAGAAAAGGGTGTCAATAGCATTCAGAGACCAGTTGATCAAATCCATAATTCTCTTTTAGATTTTAGAAACAGACTGTGAGAGAGTGTTCCAGGGAAAGTGAAAAAAAGCAAGAGACTAGACAAGGACATAAGCAGGGAAGATAAGGGAAGGGAGAGGAGAAAAGTGCGACCGCCTTCGCTGAGAGCGAAACGAGAAAAAAAAGAAAGAGAAAGGTATAGAGTTATATTTTTGTTAATAGGTTCAGACTGGTCAAATGTAGATTTGGTTAAATATGTAAACAGCACAATATATATATTACTCTTCTTATATGTCAGTTAAGTACTTGGAATGTTAACGGGTCCAACAATGTGGTGAAAAAAAGTCCTAAATTCTCTAAAGAAAGATTTGATTCACGTTGATTTTTTGCAAGAAACCCATCTGACAGATGAGGAACATAAAAAATACTGTAGAGAATGGGTTGGTCAAATCTTTTTTCATCCTACTCTACAGATAAAAGGGGGGTTATTACTGTTATACACAAAAATCTCAGATTCACTGTCCTTCCTTCAAGGACAATGAGGGAAGATATATATTGGTTAAAAGGGATAGTGGATGGGGAAATATATAACATAATATATAATAAAACCAAATGCACAGAATGGCAAGTTTTACAGGGTATTATTTAGTATTTGCAATTGAGAAATTATGTGTTAAAAAATGCAAAATCATTAAAAATCTCAACTGCCTCTTTTCGGTTGGAGAAATTTCTTCTGGATAATAGGGAGCATAAACATTTTGTATCAAAGTTTTATTCAGAGATTTATGCCCTAATTGTGGACAAATTGGCATGGTTGAGAAAATTTTGGGGGAAGTGGCTTAAATGTGAAATAGATATACAGGCATGGGACAAAATCTTGCTCCTTCCATCTAAAATGTCTGTTTGTAACCGATTAAAAGAACTGCAGTACAAAATTTTGCACAATGTGTATATTTCTCCGTATATTTATAGTAAGTATAATATGGGAACATCCCCGAATTGTCTCAAGTGTAAGGCCAGAGTGGGCACTAGATTCCGTTGCTTGTAGGAATGTGCTATTATTCAGTCATTTTGGAAAGAGCTCTGCGCCAATATTAGTACAGCCATTGGTCATCAGGTGACAGAAAACCCATTAATGTGTTTATTGGGATATATCCCTGTCTCACTGGTACAACATGAGCATGTAATTCAGTCACTGTTAATGTTGGCCAGGAAAAGCATTATGTTGAGATAAAAGTTGCTCACCATTGATGTTATGACTCTGATCAGGTTGGGACATCATATTGATGGGAGCTCCCGAATTTTTGTGAACAAATGGAAGAAACCACTGGAAGCACTGGGAGTAACCTGCAAACTGGATTCTAACGGACAACAATTATGGACATAAATTAACACAAGTTTGCTATGGACTCTGGAGAATGTGAAATATTCTAGTGCTGTGTTACTGTTTTGGATGTGAACCAGTCTTGTATTTGTTGGGGAAAAAAGTTAAAAGTAAAAAAAAACCGACAAAAAAAACATGTGAGATGCAATGACGAGTGACAAGAAACCAGAGGGATAAAGACATGCAGGGGTTGGATTCAAATCTGGTCCGTCCTCTTTCAGCCATATGGTTTAGTATCACCTGCTCTTCTCAGTGAGCTGAACTGCAGCTAA